GTAGTTTCATGTGGCTCAGAATTATTGGAAAAATCACAAAGTGTCTGATCACATGGTATTGGACTTTGTAAGGCTCAATGAATAAGAAAACCAATTGCCGCAACCTCTGTGACTTTATTTGATGACAGAAGATGACAATCTACGAATCTGTACGTCTTGAAGACATATCTATTGAAAAAATGAGTTGCCACAAAGGCTGATCTTATAGCAAAAAGTCAAAAGGTACAAAGCTCTCATTGTGGCGTGGGATTCTGCTGTCGGCCACATGAAGAACTGCACTGTTTTTCAATCAATATACAAAAGTCTATTATATAAATGCTATTATACGCCATCAAACCCACAGCCACGGATTAATATTGTTATTGTGAGTGTATATCTGGAGGAAATACCTAGTGATAATGTTTTAGTGAGCTGACATTTATAGCACGATAGTAGAAAAATGTTGACAAGCACAGGATGAACAATTTGATGAGTCTTTCTGATTAAATGCTTATGTAATTGAATTATGAAGCTTTATTTCATTCCATTCTTTTTCATAGACCCTTTTGTATGTGTGTGTCTGTTATTTTTCTCCGACCACCTAATCAAATAACAAAAAAAAAAATGCATATGAATATGCAACACATCTTACTCAATTATTATTGAGCTTTATTCGCCAAGTAAGTGCAAACACACAAGGAATGTGTTTTTTTAGGAGATCTTGGTACAAACAAACATACATACATACATACATGCATATATGACATTGAGAACAGAAAGAACATTCAAATAAGTCTAAGGAAAAACAAAAAAATTTATAATAATAATTATAATGTGGTATACATCTGGAACAAAAGATTTATGTACATATTTGTGCATTATTTACTGTATATACAGCTGTATAAATAAAAATATGTATATGTATTTACATAATACTTGAAATAGAGGCAATAATTAGTTATTAAAAAAAGAATTACAGAAGAGAGGTGGTAATTTCTGTGTTAGCGGTTTAAGCTGGAGATTGCATGCATGGGGGAAAAACTGTTTTTATGCCTAGATGTTCTAGTGCACATAGGATCTGTAGCGTCTGCCTGAGGGGAGAAATGCAAACAGGTTGTGTCCGGGGTGAGAGGGGTCTGTGATGATGTTACATGCCTGTTTCTTCACTCTGGAGTTGTACAAGTCCTGAAGGTTGGGCAGGCGCACACCAACTATCCTTTCAGCTGTCCTAACAGTCCGTTGCAGTCTTCTTATATCTGATTTGGTGGCTTACCCAAACCAGACAGTTATCGAAGTGCACAGAACTGACTCAATAACAGCTGAGGAAAACGGTGTCTTCTGCGCCTGTGGAAGGTTGAACTTTTTCAGTTGACGAAGGAAGTACAACCTCTGCTGGGCCTTTTTCACAATGGAGTCAATATGAATGTCCCACTTCAGGTCCTGTGAGATGGTGGTGCCCAGGAATCTGAATGACTCCACTGCTGCCACAGTGCTGTTCATGATGGTGAGAGGGGGGAGTCCACAATCATCTCCACAGTTTTGAGCGTATTCAGCTCCAGGTTGTTGTGACTGCACCTGACAGACAGTTGCTCAACCTCTTGTCTGTAAGCAGACTCGTCACCGTCCTGGATGAGGCCGATGACTGTGGTGTAATATGCAAACTTCAGGAGTTTGACAGAGGGATATTTAGAGGTGCAGTCATTTGTGTAGAGGGAGAAAAGCAGTAGGGAGAGCACACACCCCTGAGGAGCTCCAGTGCCGATGGTGCGGGTGTTGGATGTGAGTTTTCCCAGCCTCACTAGCTGCTGCCTGTCTGTCAGGAAGCTGGTGATCCACTAACAGATGGAGGTGGGTACAGAGAGCTTTGTCAGTTTGATCAGGAGGATGACGGTGTTAAAAGCGGAGCTGAAGCCCACAAACAGGATCCTTGCATAAGTCCCTGGTTTGTGCAGATGTTGGAGGATGTAGCGCAGTCCCATGTTGACTGCATCATCCACAGACCTGTTTGCTCGAAAGCAAAGGGTCCAGTAATGTCCTTCAAGTAGGCCAGTCTTTCAAATTACTTCATGACCACAGACGTTAAAGCAACAGGTCTGTAGTCAATTAGTCTCGTGATTTTTGGTTTCTTGGGTACAGGGATGACGGTGGAGCGTTTGAAGCAGGAGGGGACTTCACACAGCTCCAGTGATCTGTTGAAGATCAGAGTGAAGATGGATGACAATTGGACAGCACAGGCTTTGAGGCAGGCTGGAGAGACACCGTCTGGGCCTTTGGCTTTCATGATCTTCTGTTTCCTGAAGACTTTGCGTACATCATCTTCACAGATCTTAAGTGCAGGCTGAGAAACAGTAGGGGAGAGGGTGTTGATGGTTGTGATGTGAGATGGGTGTAGGGTGTGAGACCAGGCTTTTCAAACCTGCAGTAAAACTCATTCAAACCGTCAGCTAAAAGTTGATTCTCCACAGTGCTGGGGGATGGGGTCTTGAAGCTGGTGATGGCTTTCAGGCCTTTCCACACTAAAGCCCGTTAGATGAAGCATGCTGTCCGGGATGGCTCCGTTCAACCAGGTTTCCGTGAAGCAAAGCGCAGCAGAGTTTAAAAAGCTAGAATCACTTGTATAAGATCACAGTTCCTCCGACTAGAATGTCCAGTAAAATGTCTGAATGCTCAAAAGTCGGCAAAAAGTTATTTGGTGTGCTATTTCTGATGTCTAGGAGTTCGTCCCTAGTAAAGCTGATCAGAAAAAAGGTACTAAAAACAGGACAAACAAACAAAAATAGTAAAAGTACCAAGTAGCTAAAAACCGAGGCAGCCATGTGTGGCGCCATCTTCTCCCATCTTCCCAAAAACATTTCAAGCAGTAGAATCCAACATTTGTGTCACATAATTTTATTAATATATCATTTAAAATGACAACTTAATGCAATATGTATATTGTGCACATATGCTATTTTATTTTAATACTTACGCCTATTTTAGTAAATTTTTAAAATTTTTTATTTAATATTTAATTGAATATTATAGATTTAATTATTTATATTGGAGATGATGATGATGATGATGATGATTAATTTGCCTAATTTAAATACATATTTTTATATGACAATCTTTTATTAGTTTTTTTTAATTTTATTTATTATATTTATTAATATATGTATTCTTATCTACTTCCATCATCTCAAGCTGAATTTTTGAACAGGATGAGTATATGTTTTGAGTTACAAAAGAGCAGCACTACATTGTAGCAGATGAAAGCATGGGATAGAAAAGGAAGGAAAGATCTAGGTTTCTCTGTGTCTTTTCAGCTTCCCCTTTGAGAATATCTGAGTGGTCCTTTCAAGAGGTCCTGACAATTGTATTATTAGAGAGGCAGAGAAAGTTTAAAAGCAGATCAAATCGCAGTCTGGTGTCCTCGGGTCGCTCTGCTGTTGAAATGACCGCTGTAGTCTAACTAAGTTACAGGTATAAGCAATCGCATAGATAGTAACACAGCACTTTTCTACAGCTGCACAGATTGCCTTCTGTATCTAATATTCACTTATCTGTCATAAACAACAAGGATTTGTTTCTCAAATAAATCTGAGATATTATGCTATCTAGAAATAAAGCAGAATAATAGAATCACAAGGCCAAAAAAAAAAATTTAATAAAGGCATCAGTTTTGCTTCTCCCCATCAAGTTCATCAGGAACCCAGAAAGCTATGAGAAATTGTATTTTGAGAGGTTTACTTTTAGTGTTATACTGGTATTTATCAAATATGTCTGTCAAAGAAGACTTGAATTGCAGCAATTTGTTAAAATTGCACATTTGCTCTAAGAAGGTTGACTTTCCACTTTAGGAAACATGCTAGAAGTTAACGATGTCTTTCGGGAATGAACAATGTTCATGGCCAAATCAGACACACAGATTTCAGCAGTAGGCTTAATTAAAGTGATGGGCGCCGTCATCATTGGTAATGGAGTTAACTTCAGCACTCAATGACTCTCTGTCTACTTCACTTGTTTACTGTCTAACTCTACAATTATGAAAAACTGACTTATAAAACATGAACTTGTTTTATTTCCCACAGGCCTTCAAACTGCAGCAATGTAAAAAAGGAAAAACAATTACCATGTATTTTCAAAGTGCTCAGCTGAATAATATTCTACAAAATTGCTCCACTGGTACTTACTTATGATGCCTGAGTATCCTACTGATCAAAATTACTTTCTTATAAATTAGAAATTATTTTCCCCAGTAGGTTAAAAATAAATAAAATAAAAAGCATGGGTTGTTGACACAAGACAATTTTATTTAATATTTAACTTAATATTAAAACCTAATGTAATCTTTATATTGTGCATATTTTATATTTTATATAATACTTTAATACTAATATCTTATTTAATATTGTACATATATTTTAATTTTATTTCATATTAATACAATTTAATATTTATATTGTACATATTTTAAAGTTTCATTTAATTTAATATTGTACATATTTTATAGTTTCATTTAATTTTATATTTAATTTAATAATAAAATGTAATTTAATATTTATATTGTGTATATTTTACATTTTAATTTAATACTTTACTAATATTTAATTTAATATTAACATTGTATTTAATATTTTATAATCTAATTTAATATTTAACATTTGTTTTGACTAATGTAATTTATAATTTTATATGATAATGTTTTATTATTATTTATGCATTCTTTTTAAAAAATATTTGTAATTAGATTTTTTTATGGAATTTAATTTAATCAATATTTGACACAAAAGTGGATTGAATGCAAAAAAAAAAACAGATTAATATTACTTTTGTTTAATTTCAAGTCTAGTGCATTGCATTGTGGGATACAGTATTTGTCAAATGTAGCAGAACATCCAGGTTCTCCAAGTGTACAGAAAATCTGCATACTCTCAAAAACATGCAAACTGCAGTATTACAGTAGTATGCAATTTCAAACACAGCCTAAAATGACTAACACATTACTAACATAATTTCCTATTCCTGTGTGCCTAATACAGCAACCCCATAGCATCGTTCAGCGCCGTCTCCTGGAGGGCAACATTCCACGTTTGCGTGGAGAGGCCCGGGACGTCCCATCTCATATTCGCTCACCCCTGGCAGACAGCAAAGAGGGCGGAGAGCCGGAGGATAGGAGCGAGAGCACAGTGGATGACTCCACGGAGGAGAGGGAGTCTCCGGAGGAGAGCGAGAAGAGCCTGAGGTCTGATGAGGATGAGGATGATGAAGATGAAGGGGACAGCAGCGATGCAGGTGGAAAGACAGAGCCCAAACAGAAAAATAAAATGGAAGACGAGACAAAGAAAGGTCTCAAAGAGGGCGAGAGTGCATCCACCCTTTCAGCTCTAGTGGTCCAGTGTAAAGTAAGCATTCACACTGATGAGCTGAGCTCTTTTCAGCCTTTTTCAGCTGTCTGTGTCCATAATAGAAGCGATAACAGTGTGTCATAATGAGAAAACGCGAGCTCTGGCTCCGTATGACTCATGGTTTAATATTCCTTGCAGCCGACTGTTCTTGACGGTCGGGTTTGAGAGGGTTTTAGAGGTCCAGTATGCATCTAAAAAGCCCAAATCAGTGAAGCACCTCATGCCAAGTTTACAATACAGATGACGTAACTGGGGTGCTAGTGACTCATTGTATGGTGATATAACAACTTTAACACAAGGACAGAAGGAACTAAATAATACCCAAAATGAGATATTATTATAAGACATAATTTTGGGTCATATCTTGTACCATTCAAAAGTCCAGGGTCGATTAGATTTTTAAATGTTTTTGAAAGAAGCATTTATTGAATCAAAAATGCAATAAAAACAGTAATATTGTGAAATTGTATTACAATTTAAAAATAACTGTGTTCTATTTTAATATATTTCAGTGTCTTCAGTGTCACATGATCCTTCAGAAATCATTCTAATATGTTGATTTGCTGCTTAAAAAAAAACACATTTTTATTTTCTTATTATCAAAGTTGAAAACAATTGTGCTGCTTAATATTTCTATGGAAACCACAATATATTTTTTCAGGTTTATTTGATGAATAGGAAGTTCAAAAGAACAACATTTATTAAACCCAACAAGGCCAGAGTACTGAACTCAAATTAGACAATCACAAAAATATATTACCTTAGCTTGTCCAGCTCACAGCAAGGTAATAATGAAGACAAAATGCATAGTTAGCAGAGTTTAATTTGTGTACGGTATTCTACATTTATTATGTGAGAAGAAAGAGACCATAAAGAAATACAAGAGACATGAAACTAGCACAACTACAAAGGAACGCTATTGCCGGAAACAATGTTATTATACAAAAAACATTTGGCCATAATGAAGTAAAAGTTGTGCAATAAGACCCAGCTTTCAGTAAAATGAATGAAAATTGTCATCTGAATTTCAAATGAACTGAATGTTCTGGAATACACATGCAGTCGTATTATCATAGGTGAACTGAAAGACGGAAAGAAACCATCAGCATCTAATTAAAGCTTCGGTAATGAAGAGCCAGATAAGTGGGGCAGCGTTTTACGTAGCAAATCCACCATAGTGGTTCATGCCTCCTCTTCTGGAAAGATAAGTTTCACTTTGAAGTCATGCACTATTTTGGCTCCACGCAGACTTGCCATCATTATATGTATCACACACGCACCAGTGCACCCACATACACAGACATTTAATAGCGGCAATCAAATAAAGACATAACACAACTCACAAAGGGAGTATCTCACCGAGTTCAACTGTTTTTATAGCATCCACTAGGAGTTTTGTTCCATTTCGCATTTTTATTCTTCAATTTAAATGAGAAAAAAAAAATCTAAGAAACGAATGTCTTCACTTAAAGGAATAGCTCACGCAAAAGTGAAGATTTGCTGAAAATGTACTCAAACTCTTTTACATCTCGGATGGAATGAGCTTGTTTCATCATTGGAACAGATTTGGAGAAATGTAGTATTGCATCACTTGTTCATCAACGGATGCTCTGCAGTGAATGGGTGCCGTCAGAATGAGAGTCCAAACAGCTGATAAAAACGTCTCAGTAATCCACACGACTCCAGTCCATCAATTAATGTCTTGTGAAGCGAAAAGCTGCATGTTTATCAGAAATAAATCCATCATTAAGATGTTTTAACTTTTAAACTATTGCTTCTGGTCAAAGTACTAGCCCATAATCCATAATAATAATTCCTCCCGTGAAAAATTCCATCCTGTGTTGTCCTCTCACATCAAAATCCACTGACATATTTGTTTAGAACTGTTTTCTAGAGACTGTGTGATGGTGCTTGATCTGTGCATATTTCTCTCCTGATTCAGACGAGATGACTTTTTCACTGGAGAAAGCAATATTATGGATAGAGGATTCATATATTAGCTGGAATGATGGATTTGTTTCTTACAAACACACAGCTTTTCATTTCACAACACATTCATTGATGGGCTGGAGTCATGTGATTTACTTTGGATTATTGTGATGTTTTTATCAGCTGTTGGACTCTGATTCTGACGGCACCCATTCATAGCAGAGTATCTATTGGTGAGCAAGTCATGTAATGCTAAATTTCTCCAAATCTGTTCCAATGAAGAAACAAACTCCTTTAATTTTAATCTTACATGATGTCACCTCAATGTGTTTATGTGGACGTGTTTAATTCAGGGTGTCTTGCACTGCAACAAAAGCACTTTCAACACAGCACTAGAAACCTAGCAGAGGAAGGAACAAGTGTGAAACAATCTAAGGAAACCTGCGTGTCTGTGCAAGTGTTTGTGAAACATGCTAGCTGGGACGGAACAATGTGTGAGAGGGGCTTAACGGCCCCCCATGTTTGCACGCTCTGGTGCGTCCCACCCTTTATGTGGTAGGAAAGTTGCGGGGGTGACGGCTCACCTTGAATGACAGGAAACTCAAAGATGTTGCAAAAAAGCTCTCATCCACTTATTTATCTTTAACGGTAGAACAGTGCTGACACAGAACTCATCCCTCACTCATTAAATGTGTAGTTAGAAAACAGGCAAAGAGCAAAACCAATGCTTGACAACGCTTTAGCTGTGTGTATGTGGAGCCATATTGTCATTAAGTCCTCATGCATGCTGAGAGACCTTATACCACAAACCGGTTCCAAATCCCTCAAAATATCTCAGCTGAGGCTTCCCCTCAAGCTCCCACGACACTAATTAACTAAATAATAATACTAATATTTGTATTATTATTGTTGTTGTTGCTATTATTATTATTATTATTATTATGCAATGAATAAAGTATTAAATATTAAACTTATTCAATACATAGTAGTATTATTATTATTATTATTATTACACAACTCTCTGAAATACTTCATTCCAGATCAAATATTTTTGTTAATGGCCATATTTATCAAGGGCACATTTACTTGAAAGGATGTCATTATTATTACAATTATTAAATATTAAGTTAAATTATACATAATTTTATGTACAATTAAGATTGTAACAGCACTGACAACTTCAGGTGCTTTTAATAAAATTATATTTCCACTACAACTTAAATATACAAACCTGTACAAAAATACAAATACTTATGCAAACATATATCTAGGGAAAGAATTAAACTTTTATATCATTTTTTTTAAAACATAATGTGCATATGTGCAAACACAAAGTCTAAATGAAACGTAGTTTTTTTTTTTTCCCTGATCTGTTAAGAAAACTGCCATTAGTATTATTACTATTACAACGCTCTCTGAAATACTTCAGAGAATAAAATGTTTTTGTTAATGGCCAAAATTACTGTACAAAATTAAGTACAAATGCCATTATTATTACAATTATTAATTATTAAATTAAACTGTACATCATTTTTTTAATAGGGAATTATGATTGTAACAGTGTTGACACAACTTTTAGGTATTTTTAATAAATTCTATTTCCACTACAATACAAAATATACAAACTTCATAAAAGTGAATAAAACTTTTATGTCTATTTTTCCCCCAAACAAAATGTGCATTTTTGCTCATAGGAAGTAAGAAAAGCCTAAATAAAAATAAAAAAAACAAAAACAAAAACCACCATTTCATTTTTTATTCTAAATTTTTGCTGATCTACTGAGAAAAATGGCACAAATAACACATATTAATAGCTGGAGTCTGTATTCACTGCTGTGACTTGTTTACACAAATGTTAATGTGGTATGAGCCAAAACATGCAGGATCCATCAGAAGACAAGCGGATGGCTAATGAGTTAAAAAGCAATCCACTGATTCTGTTAATACCGAACAAATTATTTACACAGAAATGTCAAACAAGCAGCATGAACAGGCACTTAGAGCTTCCAAAGAGCAAATGCTGCAAAAGCACAGGGTCATTATTCATCTGTCTAGCTCTGAATTCTGCAAGCACTGATGGAATTTCAGGTGAAAGGACAGACTGAGAATAAACCGACTCACTGAAGCGAAACGTCAGGAGTACCTTTGATAGTGACGGTCCATTATTAACCAGAACTATTATCCTCAGACGGTATTAAACTATCAATCCTGATACAAAAACAAAACCTGGCATTGTCTATTTAAAAGAACAAAAGCTAATGCTGTGCTGTGCTTCAACATAATGTAGTGTCTCAACTTGGCATCTGTGTGAAATTAGCTGGCAGACTAAGCTATGTTGTTAGACTCTGACTGATAATATGTTTTGCTATTTAAAATTCCTGTCACATGAAAGGTGTAGAAAAGGCATCACGGGGGGGAGGGGGGAATATTTTATCAGGGAAAGACCAAATGTTTATTTTGCAGTGCGAAGATGCAGAGGTGATGTTATCCATAAACACAGGGTGCCAACCATTATCAATTTATGTAATTTTATTAGTGAAACTGAGCGTCCAGTTTCCTGTAAATATTTTTTTTATCCATAATTACTGAAATCAACTGAACAAACAGACACATTTTTTTTCAAATGAATTATTTAATTAAAAAGTCTCTTATGTTCACCATGGGTGCATTTATTTGATGAAAAATGCCATAAAAACAGTAATATTGGGAAATATTTTTACAATTTAAAATAACTGTTTTATATTGGAATATATTATAAAATGTAATTTATTCCTTTGATGGCAAAGCTGAATTTTCAGCATCCATTACTCCAGTATTCAATGTCACATAATCCTTCAGAAATCATTCTTATATGCTGATTTGTTCATCAAGAAACATTTATTATTATTATTATTTGTAATTTTATTTATTTCAGGTAAATGCTGATCTTTTGACATTTCTAGAATCCAGAATGCTGAAAGAAATGTATCACAAAAATATGAAACAAAAAATGACTATATTTCCTAAGTGCTTGTATTTTCTGCAGATTGAAAACCAACCTTGAAGACAAACCTCATGACAAGCTGCCGCTCAGTGATTCGACAGTGGAGACAGTGAAGTCCCTGCACCTGCAGCTGGGCAGAGAAAGAGTGCAATGCACTGCCCAGGTCATAGGTCAGACTTCAAAGTTTCTCCAGTCACTTCTGAAAATGCACTGCCTATTGCTTTTTAAAACGCTGTCCAAGAAAACATATACGATTACCCCATGTTTCATAGATTTCATCTGAATAGAGAAGAGCTGAGAGACATCCAGGACATTCTCCTAAGTGTTCGGTACTCTCAGAACTGGTTCCAACCAGTCATGTCTAAATATAAGTTTAATGCAACAGAAAAGTCTTATGAGAGTGCAATAGTCATAGTCATACACATTTCTTCAGCTTGTATATTCAGCTTTCAGACTGAGCCATTGACCTTTTCCAATTCAGACAGCAGTCTGGGAAAGCTCAGACAAAGAGACGTGGGCAACACAGAGGAATTTCATAACAGACGAGTACATGACCTGGGCACAGTGCCGGCCGTGTCTTCTGCATGCATCGCATACAGATATATTATAAAGCTACTAATGGCACCAGTTTTAATCAAGCCTCCTCATGTGCTCTACTAATTAGAGAAAGAATAAAATGATGCCTAAAGGGGATACAGTTTCTCTCTTTGTCTCCCACATTTTGAGTCTCATCTCTTGTCTGTTCACAGAGGACGCCACATTTGAGATGTGTCTGGGTCTACAGACTCTGCTGGAACTCAAAGTAAGCCCTACATTTGTTTAACCTCATTTTCAGAGTCTTGTAAAGTATGGTTTCTAACCCACTAGTCTTTGGCTTTCGAAAGTTTTGCATTTTCAGTTTGAGATTAAAATGCATGGATGAAGTCTTTTTGAAAACTGCTGCTGCAGATTGTGCTGGTCATCTAGATCAAATGTTTTTAAACTTTTTAATGCCACTGACCCCAAATATGATGATTTCCTTGTGTATATTTATATATATTTGATTAATGTCATGATTTTTTTACCAGTCTTTAGCAGAATGACAATGACAAATTCTGTATTCCCCTGATCTAGATCACATCTTCATACATATAAATGAGACTTAATAAATGCAAATTACAATCTTATATTCATAGTTTAATTGTAAAACTTATAATCATACTTTAATTGCCAGTCTCAAAGATATTTACATGTATTTACATAATTTAGCAAAAGCAACTTTTTTAATCAAAAGTGACTTGTATGATTTTGATCATGATCAAAAGTGACTTGAAATGCAAAGTATCAGTTTTATCAGTAAATCATAGCTGAAGTGATTACAGACATAACATGAAGTAAATTGAATTATGAAATACTTAGCCTCAGAACTGCTTTGCTGCTTGTTTCTCTACTATGTTAGGTTCTGACACTAAGTAGGAGTACATGATGGGGGAGTTCTTTTTTGAGCATATATCTAAATATTGAATCAGCTCTGAATATGGTTTGAGATTATTTCAAATGCCAGGGGGGAAAAATTCCCCTTTGAGGTTTACACGAGTTATGAGAAGGAAGCTAAACACTATGAAAAGAACAGAAGATCCTTTTTAAAGTATGATAGAGTGAGCTGCTACTATGTTAGGTTCTGACACTAAGTAGGAGTACATGATGGGGGAGTTCTTTTTTGAGCATATATCTAAATATTGAATCAGCTCTGAATATGGTTTGAGATTATTTCAAATGCCAGGGGGAAAAATTCCCCTTTGAGGTTTACACGAGTTATGAGAAGGAAGCTAAACACTATTAAAAGAACAGAAGATCCTTTTTAAAGTATGATAGAGTGAGCTAAAAAAGGGGACAAGAGAGGGAAAGCTCGAGAATGAAAGTGCGAGTATATGCAAATTACTATTCTTGTAAGAAGAAAAGATAATGTATGCAAGGAGAAGGATCCATGAAACCAGTGCAGGCCTATGTGCAGACAATAAACTGCAGAATAAAGCATTTCAGCCACTCTGTTCACCTGAAATATATAAATGCTCCTCAGACTGTTACAGTAGCAAAACAACAACCTCAAACATGTTCACCAATTTTGCTCTACAAAGGCACAATACAGTAGTTACGCTTTGTCAGACCTAAGCTGTGACCGAAACCAGGTCTTCAGACTATGATCAGATTCAGAGAAGACAGACTGTGAAAAACGTTATCAAATAAATCAAAGTTTAATATAAAAAGGCCACTTTTCTTAGTTCCAGTGTTGCTGTCGTTACTGCATCTTGAAATGTCCTTGCTCATAATTCTTATCAAATAAAAGTAATTTAAAACAGAAAGTTCAACAAGAAAAACTTTGATGTTTATACGTTTACAATAGTTTTAAAATCTTGAAAGACTGCAGCTTGAAATTTATACACGTCAGACAGACAAAGACAGAGAGAGATTTGCATGGTTGCTAGGCAGTTGCGTGGGTGTTCTAACTGGGTGATTGTTACTAAGATGTTGGTTGTTAGGGTATATCTAAGTGGCTGCTAAGGTGTCATGATTGGTTGCTAGGGCAGAGACAGATAGATAGACATTTAGGCAGAGTGACAGATTGCATGACAGTATTATTGATAGATAGAACGATAGATAGAACAACATACAGATAGAATGACAGACAGACAGAATAACTATAGCATAATACACTAGATGTGATGCAGTGATCTGCTCTCTATTCCAGTGCTGTGTGGACCTGAACTCCAGAGTGCTCCGGCTCCACAGCACAAAGCAGGAGCTTCCCTTCCTGGATCCACCTGCCTGCAGCCAGTGCCATCACCATGACAACAACAAAAACATGTGACCTCGGACCTACGTGCCCAACAGCTGCCATGACCGTACCCAAGTAATCAGAGAGGAAGTTGACAGAAGGATGCCTGCATCTGGACTGTAGTGTTCCCTTGTGCCAGATCAACATAGACAGGCCTCTCCTCTCTCATCTTTCCTTCTTTGTTCTTCGTTGTTTGTTTCTGTGCTATTACAGAAATCTGCCAACTATGATTTTTCATTATTATTTGCTGTGCTAAACTAGTTTTTTGGGGGGGTACACAGTTAATCCTTCAAAAATTGAACTGTTTGACGATTGATGAGTAATATTCTCTAACTGGTGATTTTAATTACAAAGTAAATTATATTCTTGTGTAAGAGAGTTCATGAAAAGCTGCACACCTTGGGTTTCCTAACCAATCACCAAGCCTGATTTTATACTTTTAAATGTCTCAAAAAAAAAAAAACTATCAGAAAAAAACTCAAACTTAGCTAGAAATCTCTCGCCCAAAATTGCCTTTTACTAACAAAGAATGTGTTTTCGGACCTCATTTTTCACTTTAGAAAGCCAACTCTGCCCTTAGATGATAAGAAGCCCAATCAAATATTAATTGCAGCCTTGGGCTGCAATCTCACTCAATGACCCCCAAACCAAGCAAAACACTTCATCTGATTTTATAGACGTCCCCTCTTGTATTTTTCTGTTTTCGGTACGTCAAAGTGTGTAGGACTGAGTAAATGCATTTCTGGTTGACGGCTGATTTCTCCTCTTCTAGAGTCCAGTTTCTAGAAACCCTGTTCTGTTGCTGCTCAGTCTGTCCTCACCAGAGACATTTTCTCCTACACCCACACTTTGCTTATTCTTCTGTTTGTTCGCTCATAAGCGCAACTATGACTGTCTTAGTACAGCCAAAAGCTCCCACTAAAATGCTAGCCGATGACCTAAAGGGCATCTATGTCCCACACAAACTCTCCCTAAATGGTGCAGATAATTAAATTGTTGGCACACAACGCTCAATTACCCTAATCATCTAGCCTTTTAACAATATGGATGACCTTTCAATGCAGGACATCCACATAATTGCCGATTTTATGTTCTTCCCTTTCTTTCTATGCTGTGTGAAGGGCAACTATACGAAAAAAAACAGTTTATTTTTGGGTGTTTTTTTGGTTTCCTTTTCTCTGAACAGTATTTTCTCTGCCTAAATAAAATAAATATGTATTCTGGCTATGAAGGTCTCTGGTTGTCCTCAATGCACAGATCTAGGAAACAACACTTGCGCTACTGCTGGCAAAAACAGTGCAACAGTGCTACAACTCACTCTTGCACTTGAAGGTTCCACACAGAGGTTCACGTGGCTGTAATGTTAGTTTGCCCGAGGCAGTAAACGGGCTATTTTAAGCTTCTTTCATCTGATGATGGAGGGAAACGATGTTCCCACAACCATACAGAGCCACATGGGATGACATCATTGACCCTCCACTGAGGGCAGGCTGCTCCTGTTCCAACCAGCATGAAGACTGAAAACATAGGCAAAAATTGCTCTATTTATCAGTCTAAAAACCGTAAAATCCACCCATTCTTTGAAAAAAGCAAAGATACTCTATATATTAATATATACTATTTATAAATTGACATTAAATATATACACACACACACATAAATCTATCATAAAAATATTAAATAAAACATAAGATATACATTAAAATTTCATGTTTTGTGAAGCCGTGGCCACAGCAAAATCTCATGATTTCACTCTTCATAACTCTATATTAAACCTTAAAAACATTCTGATTTGCTTGTGTTTAGTCATATTTTTTTCTGCTATAATATAACAAGCCACTCAGGATGGGTAAAATAATATCAGCCAATGATATTACAGCATCCATGTTAAACTTTTTACAATCCAATCAAATCTTGACTGGTGAAACAAGTCCATCCCTATATAATTTCCCGCCAAAAATTTGTTTCATTCAGATATGTGCCTGATAAATGCGTGTGGTCTTTAAGGGAGAAAAAGAATGAAATTCAACATAAAATCACTTTATAACCACATTTGCTACAGCACAAGACAGCAGTGATGTAAAAGTCATCTGCTGATGGCCATGTCACACGCTGTGCCCCATGATGTCTTTCTGTCACATCCAGTGATGACTTCAGAATGAAAGCTAATCCAGTAGAGCCTCAGTGCCACACAGAAGAGAACAAAATGCTTTTTGTTTTTATTATTCAGGCAGTGCTCACACAGAGATGGGCTCTGCTGCTTCATAACCCCACTGTGCAACGGGGGCCCTGTGGCGATTTCTTCTGACTCAGTGAACATGCCACATCCTGTCACAGTTTTAAATACACGTCTTATTGTACCGGCGCACTAAAAGGCACAGATTTACAGAACAGCAATGTAAGCTCTGACACCTAGTTGTAGGCACTGACACGCTTGCAAAATTTGCAAGAAGAAAGAGTATTTGGCGTTTATGCAAACACTTGCGAAGATTTAAATTAAATTTTAAAATATATAGAAATATTGTTTGCAAAACAGACAAAATGAATCAATTGAATGAAACTCTAGTAACATGCTAAAATTCACTACTGGTTATCCCAACACAACTAATAATAGGATATATATATATTTATATATATTATTAGAAATATACACTTCCCTAAAAAATACAAACTTGCAAACATGCATGACTGCAATAAAATATACTTATATTTTAATATAAATAAATAAATGT